TTGTTAGAGCATAAGTGTATTTTTAGGGGAGGAGATCTTAGTTGCCTACTCTTGATTTATTTACTTGAGATTTTTCCGTTTTTTTTTTAACATGAAAGTGTAAATTTGCATATTTTCAGTTTCACACTAACATCATTTTGACATTCCTGCTTTAATACCGTGGACTTAACAGTATTAACTTCTATTTCACAGAGTCAGCATGTGGCAGTTACTTTGATCTTTTTACTTCTGACTATACAAAATCTATATGGAAATATTTCTTGAATATTCTTCCAGTATTTAATAATTTTATCTTTTTTTTTTAGGTTTATTTTTTGACAGAGAGAGAGAAAGCAAGCTGGGGAGGGGCAGAGAGAGAGCGTGAGAGAGAGAATCCAAGGAAGGCTCTGCACTGTCAGCACAGAGCCTGATGCGGGGCCCAGTGTCACAAACTGTGAGACCATGACCTGAGCTGAAATCAGGAGTCAGATGTTTAACCGACTGAGCCACCCAGGCACCCCTTTAATTATTTCATCTTACACAAGCTATAAATTCAAATTATTTCCAAACCAGCCATGGTCTAATATTTTCATGAAGCGACTTAGAAGGTCAATGAAAACTTTTTTATACATATTCAAGCTGAGCCTGAAGTCTCTCCTGGCAGCCAGTTCTGGAATCAGCCCCTTAGACAGACTTAGTTCTCTGAAACACTAGGGTATCAGAAGGTTTGATTCTTTCTTGCATGCATACCATAATTTGAATTGGGTTCCCTGGGGTCAGAGCCTGACCTTTTAATTGTATCATCCTGCAATTTTGAGTGTAGTACTCGAGTATAAGTAACTCCAGAATTTTCCATAGTGTTTATGGAAATAGAATATGCCAATATATAACCAGTAGTATATTCTGAGTATGTACATTCTATATTTGTTTTAAAAAATAGACTGTCTTCTAGGGAACTAATTATAGAAGGAACAGAAGAAAAACTAATAGAAGAAAAACATGATTTTTATGGCTTCTGCTTTATAGTTTAGTTCCAAAAACATAGAGTACATGTAATGGGGAGAAATGGGCTGGAGTTGAAACTTGGTTTTCAGTAGCTTTGTGACTTTGCAGTGTTCAAACAGCACTTCATTTCCCTGTGTCCCCTTCCCTACTGATGCACTGCAGTGACCCTGTCTGTTTGCAGTCATCTACCTTTTCCAGGCAAATGAGGTATGGTGTCATGTAAATAAAGGTGTCAGTCCCACAAGTCCATATCCATGAAGTAGATACATAAGTATTCTTACACATAAATGAAATTCAATGAATGTCATCCAACATAATCAAAAATATTGTTAGTCTACTTAAGAATTGTGTTACAGCTTTTAAGATATTTGTTTGGATAAGACTTTCTTATAATTAACATTTAAAAGTTTGGTAAAAGGACCTACCTGTTTACCTACCTATAAGGTAAAGAATTATACCGATTTATAGCAAGTAAGGAGAGGTCATTTGATATTCATAGTTGAAAACTGATAAATGCAACAAATCTTTTTCTTCCTGATCCTTATAATACTTCACATTTTATTTGGTTCCTTCGACATGATTGTCGAAGAAAAACTGATATTTTGGTATTCATCTGTTTAGCAGAGGAAATTTAATCAGATTTTCTTTTGTTTTTAATCTGATTTTCTCAAATAACACTCTATTTCCTATTTTCTTGAGTTGTTAGACCCAAGATATTTTGACCATTATTTGACTTAATCTCCCACAAGCTTCCCCCCACCTACACAGTATTGTTACCGTGAAACAGTAATACAGGCATGGAGCCAAGTTAACTCTGAAAGAAATACTCTGTTCAATACCTGAGCCATCTAGGTATAACTGGGAATAGTTTTTGTGTGTTTTTGTGTTTTAAAGGTAGATTTCCTAATTGCAAAATTACCTAAACTTGGAAAAAATACTGGTCTTTAATTTTTTTCTTTTTTAAAAATATGACACAAACTGCATTTATGATAATGTGTAAATAATACTCTAAAATCATCTCCTCAGATTGCCTGTCCAAAAATGAAAACAGAGCAAGCTTATTAAATGCATTGATCATATCCTAGTTATGACACAAGCCTATGAACATTCATTACCAAGGTGTTTTTAGCCAGTTCTGCCTTATAAGAGGAAGATTGAGGAGAGACCAGAGCCCTTTTATATTTTAGTAAAATTCTGTACAATATTTATAGATGTAAAAGGTACACAGTGATGTTTTTTAGCATCTTTATTTTCTAATACACGTTGACTATGAAATAATTATAGAAAGCAATATTCTTACCATTGTCTTTTGTTGTTTTCTGTTTATTTTTAAGAACTTGTCATTTAGTGTCATTAATGCCTTGTATAGATGTGAAGGGGTTGGTCCCTTTCCTCCATGCTACTAAACTTCTGGTTCTCCCCTAGGTCCTATCAGCAGTATCCTGGTGAATAAATATGGGAGTCTTCCAATCATGATTGCTGGGGGCTGTTTGTCAGGCTGTGGTTTGATTGCAGCTTCTTTCTGTAATACCGTACAGGAACTTTACTTGTGTGTTGGAGTCATTGGAGGTGAGTTGCTGTTGGTTCATTTTCCAGCATTAATTTGCTGCTGGAAATTTGACCATTATTTGACTTAATCTCCCACAAGCTTCACTTACATTCATCTTTCAGATCTTTTGAGTGAAATTCCTTCCTTATGGGAATTACTTGATTATCATTTTGAAGAGCTATATAAATACATTAAAGGGTACTAGAAAAGCAAACTTTTAAAGAAATTGCTGGGGCGCCTGGGTGGCTCAGTGGGTTCAGTGTCCAACTTCAGCTCAGGTCATGATCTCACGGTCCGTGGGTTCGAGCCCTGCTTCGGGCTCTGTGCTGACAGCTCAGAGCCTGGAGCCTGCTTCAGATTCTGTCTCTCTCTCTCTCTGACCCTCCCCTGCTCATGCTGTCTCTTTCTCTCTCGCTCTCTCAGAAATAAATATAAACATTTTTTAAAAAAATTTTTTAAAGAAATTGCTATCATACAGTATAATGGTAGCATTTCTTGTTCTAAGATAAATGGTGGTAGATAAAATGTGTCCACCAACTTCTTGCAGTTTTGATCACTAGTTATTACTCTTCCTCATTACTTCTTTCTCACACAGGGAATAGCTTTATGTGTGAGCAGGAGAGCATAAAACATAAAACTGGAATTACCTGGCAGAATGTCCAGATACATTTCTGAAGGATAAAAGATCCACTTACTAACTCACTTCCTCCGTTTTTGATAGCCAGATTAAAATAATGAACTGTTGAGGAGTATAATAAAGATACTTACAACTTCTCAATCCAGAGGATGTGACTATTAACATTTTAATGTATGTCTTTTCATACTTTTTTCTGTGTACAAACATATAATCTTTTAATACAAAAAATAATCAGATTATGTTTTGTAATCATTTTTTTTCACTTACCAAGACATCATGAACATCTTTCCATGTCATTAAATATTCTGATAACATATTTAATCTTTATTACTCCATTGAATAGATACATACTATAATTTTTTTTTATTAAGCTCTGTGCCAAGATCTCACGACCCTGAGATCAAGAGTCACATGCTCTACCGACTGAGCCAGACAGGCTCCCTAATATATATCATAATTTTATTTGACCAGTTTCTTAGTTAACTGTTCAATATTTAGGGTTTCATTTTTGTTTTTTTACATTTTCTTACTGTTAATAAACATTATTGCATTGATAGTCCTTTATAAACATGAATATTTTCTCAAGATAACTTTGTAAAAGTGGAACTGCTATGTTTTTGAAAAATACATGTAAGCTAAATGACCCTCCAGAAATATCGTGCTCTGCATGTAAATACATGTAAGCTAAATGCCCCTCCAGAAAGGTAATAGCTCTACTATAATGTGAGAAGGGATACAGCCTTGACAAAAATAGGATATTATCTTTTTTTTTTTTATCATTGCCAGTTTGGGGTGCCTGGGTGGCTCAGTCGGTTAAGCATCTGACCTCGGCTCAGATCATGATCTCGTGGTTTGTGGGTTTGAGCCCCACGTCAGGCTTTGTGCTGACAGCTCAGAGCCTGGAGCCTGTTTCAGATTCTGTGTCTCCCTCTCTCTCTCCCCCTCCCTCATTCATCCTCTGTCTCTTTTTGTCTCAAAAATAAATAAACTATTAAAAAAATTTTTAATCATTGCCAGTTCATCAAGTGAATGGTATCTCCTGGTTTTAATTTAAATCTCTTTGATTATTGGGAGAGTAAATATTTTTAATATGTTTGTTGCTGTGTATTTGGGGGGTTTTTTGTTGTCTTTGTACAAAAGTTTATTAATGGCTTTTGTGTCCTTGTTTAAGAATAATGTGTAGTAAATTTACATGTTAAATTATTGTCCCTTTGCATAAAACACACAGTTATTTTTACAATTGTTTTTTACATTTAATTGTGACAATATAAAATTACTTTCCTAACCATCTTTTAAGTGCACGGGTTAGTGGCATTAACTGTGTTTACATTGCTGTGCTGGACTGTTTTTATCATTGCAGAACTGAAACTCTGACCCCATTAAACAGTAACTTCCCAGTCCCCCTCCCTCCAAATATCTGTTGCCATTTTTTTCTGTTGAATTTTCTTTGAAAGAAAAATTTTGGGAGGAGGCACCTGAGTCGCTTAGTCAGTCGAGTGTCCAACTTTGGCTTAGATCATGATCTCACAGTATATGAGTTCAAGCTCTGCATCCGGCTCTGTGCTGACATCTCAGAGCTTGGAACCTGCTTCGGATTCTGTGTCTCCCTACCTCTCTGCCCCTCCCCCAGTCGCACTCTGTTTCTCTCAAAAATAAACGTTAAAAAAAAAGAAGAAAGGGGTGGCACCTGGGTGGTTCAGTTGGTTAAGCATCTAACTTTGCTCAGGTCATGATGTCATGTGAGTTCAAGCCCCGCATCAGGCTCTGTGCTAACAGCCCAGAGCCTGGACCCTGCTTTGGATTCTGTGTCTCCCTCTCTCTCTGCCCCTCCCCTGCATGTGTTCTGTCTCTCTCTCAAAAATAAACATTAAAAACATTTTTTTAAGTTTTTTTTTTATAAGTTTTATTTATCTATCTATCTATTTATTTAGTGAGGGAGAGAGTGCACACATGAGCCTGCATGCACAGGCAAGCGAGGAGTGGCAGGGAGAGAGACTCCCAAGCAGGGTCCCCACTGCCAGTGTGGAGCCTGACACACACGGGGCTTGAACTCACCAACCCATGAGGTCATGACGTGAGCCAAAATCAAGAGTCAGATGTTTAACTGACTGAGCCACCTCAGGAGCTCCCATTTGCCTATTTTTAAACATCTGGTGCCCTTCCCTCCCCCTGCCATGTTTTACATTTAAAACTTCTGAATAGAAGAAAACATTTTACATAAAATGAGAAGAAAGAAATCTAAAAGTCTATTTGTTCCCTTGGTTAGTCAGTTTGTTCTCTTATTCATTTCTCAAATATTTTTTTAAAAGGTTTTTTTTTTTTTACTTTTTACATTTATTTATTTTTGAGAGACAGAGTGTGAGCAGGGAAGGGGCAGAGAGAGGAGACACAGAATCTGAAACAGGCTCTGAGCTATCAGCACAGAGCCCGACATGGGGCTTGAACCCACGAACCTGTGAGATCATGACCTGAGCTGAAGTCTGGTGCTTAACCGACTGAGCCACCCAGGTGCCCCCATTTCTCAAATATTTATTAACAACCATGTGTATATCAAGCACTGTTCTAGATATTGTTGGGGATAGAGCAACTAAATTGGGCTAAGTCATACTCTTTAATGGGACAGGGCAGACAGTACTACTCACAAATACATCAATAAATAGGAGAAAACATCAGATAGTAGTAAGACTATACAAAGCCTCAAAACGAAGTATTCTGACAGAGAAAGACTAGGTAGTCTATGCACGTAGGGTGCTCTGGAGACATGTCCTTAACTAAGATCTACGTGGAACCAGGGAACTAGCTTTGTGGAAATCTAGGGGGACCTAAGCCCCAGGTCAGTAGTGTACTTCTTGGCACAGGTGAGGATGGTCTGGTATGAGATTAGGAAAGGAGGTAAGGGCCAAGGTGAAGGTTATGGTTGGGAAGCCACTATCAGGCATGAAACAGGGGAGTGATCTGCTCTCATGTATTGGTTTAATGCTCTGTGAATGGCTTAAACATAAATGGTTAGGTAACAATCAGGGGCCGGGGAAAGCATCTAGAAGTTATTTGAATATTCACTTTTACTAGCACTGTTTATTGAGTAATTCTTTCTACAGGAATTAAAAATTTCACTTTTTGGGGCACCTGGGTGGCTCAGTCAGTTAAGCGTCCAACTTCAGCTCAGGTAGGTCATGATCCCATGGTTCATGGGTTTGAGGCCCATGTCAGGCTGTATGCTGACAGCTCAGAGCCTGGAGCCTCCCTCTCTCTCAAAAATTAGTAAAAATAAAAAACTTTTTTTTAATTTGACTTTTACATTAAGTATGTATATATAATGTAATGTTTACATTAAGATATATTTATTATATATATACACACACATTATTTTTGACATTAAATGTTCATGGACTTTTTGTCCACTTTCACAGATCAGTGTTTACCTATGCCTGAGTCAGAGCCATGCTGTTGTAATGACTGTAGCTTTTGGAAGTCCAGCTGAATATCTGTTAATGTTTGTCCCACTCCTCCTGTACCACAAGAGGACTTTCTGATTGACTCCTATGCATTCTCTAAGTATGGTTTAGAGTCATTTTGCCTTATTTCAAAATGAAATGCACTGACATTTTCATTGGAATCACATTAAATTCATGTATTCATTTAGAGAGCATTGACATCTTGATGATGTTGTGTTTTATTGTCCAAAAACTGTGTTGTGTGTGTGTGTAGTTACACAATTGCAGTGTTCGTAAATTGCACATTTTTTACTTTTTGGTGCTATTGTAAAGTCATTTTTAAAATGTTTATTTACTTTTGAGAGAGATTGAGAGCACAAGCAGGGGAGGTGCAGAGAGAAGGAGCCGCCTCTGTGCTGACAGAGAGCCTGATGTGGGGCTCGAACTCACGAGCTGTGAGATCATGATGTGAGCTGAAGTCGGATGCTTCTCCAGCTGAGCCACCCAGGCACCCCTTTGGTGCTGTTGTAGAAGGAACAATTTTCTATTCCACTTTCTGTTGTAAAACTTTTGTCTGTACTTGATAACTACGCACTTAATGATCTTTCTATCATTACAGTGATTCCTTGGGTGTTTTGCGAGATTAAACAAATAGTTATTCACCCTCAAATACTATAAACAAAAATAATTAACATGTATTGAGTGCTTACCGCAGTGCCAGGCACTGTTCTGACCAACAGCACTGTGCGCCTGTTTTACGTATTAGGAGATACACACAGGCCTCACATGACCTGCAAGTCATAATGCTGAGATTTGAACCCACGTATGTGTGGTTTTATTTTTTTTTATTTATTTTTTTTAATGTTTTATTTATTTCTAGGAGAGAGAGAGAGAGAGAGCGTGAGCAGGGGAGGGTCAGAGAGAGAGGGAGTCACAGACTGAAACAGGCTCCAGGCTCTGAGCTGGCAGTCAGCACAGAGCCCAACACAGGGCTCGAACCCACGAACCGCGAGATCATGACCTAAGTGAAAGTCGGACGCTTAACCGACTAAGCCACCCAGGCGCCCCTATGTGTGGTTTTAGATACCACACTTTAAACCATTATACAGTATATCCTGTAATGGTGAGGATTTTTGTCTCATTTGCATTATTTATTTCTTTTCTTCCATTTTAATTTCTTTGGTTAATTAATTCCAGATATGTTGCTGACATTTACTCTGGTATGTGGTTCTTTTCCTCCCTCCCCAGGTCTTGGGCTTGCCTTCAACTTGAATCCGGCTCTGACCATGATCGGCAAGTATTTCTACAAGAGGCGACCGTTGGCAAATGGACTGGCCATGGCAGGCAGCCCTGTGTTCCTCTCCACTCTGGCCCCCCTCAATCAGGCTTTCTTCGGTATCTTTGGCTGGAGAGGAAGCTTCCTAATTCTTGGGGGCCTCCTACTAAACTGTTGTGTAGCTGGAGCCCTGATGCGACCGATAGGGCCCCCGCCAACCAAGGCAGGGAACGACAGGTCTAAAGAATCCCTTCAGGATACTGGAAAATCTGACGGAAAAAAGGGTGTAGGTGATGCAAATACAGATCTTATTGGAGGAAACCCCAAAGAAAAGAAACGATCAGTCTTCCAAACAATTAATAAATTCCTGGACTTATCTCTGTTCACACACAGAGGCTTTTTGCTATACCTCTCCGGAAATGTGCTCATGTTTTTTGGACTATTTACTCCTTTGGTCTTTCTTAGCAATTATGGCAAGAGTAAACATTACTCTAGTGAGAAGGCTGCCTTCCTTCTTTCCATTCTGGCTTTTGTCGATATGGTAGCCAGACCTTCCATGGGACTTGTAGCCAACACAAAGTGGATAAGACCTCGAGTTCAGTACTTTTTTGCTGCTTCTATTATTGCAAATGGAGTATGTCATCTGCTAGCACCTTTATCCTCCAGCTACATTGAGTTCTGTGTCTATGCGGGATTCTTTGGATTTGCATTTGGGTGGCTCAGCTCCGTATTATTTGAAACACTGATGGACCTCGTTGGACCCCAGAGGTTCTCCAGCGCTGTGGGATTGGTGACCATTGTGGAATGCTGTCCTGTCCTCCTGGGGCCGCCACTTTTAGGTATAGTGTGCTTTACTACCTCTTTGGTCTTGTTAACATAAATCAGGCATAGAAGATTGGGAAGGTTATACAAAGCAGAGATTAGTGAGCCTCTAGGTGGCAGAGAGCATTTCTCATTTCTGTAGCCTCAATGCTGACACAGTGCTTGGCATAGCATAGTTGCCCAGATTCTTAGAGAATCAAATTGAATTGAACTATCAAGTTGAAAGGGGAGGCAAATATTTTTATAAATGGCATTCTTTTTTGAAGTGTTTTATCTTCATAAAACTTAGGTGCTTATTATAGAAAACACCTACACCTGTAAAATACAACACCTCTGATAATAGCTACCATGTGAGCTCATGGTTTACCAGGGACTGTCCTAAATATTTTCTGCATCCTCTTATGTCTCATGAGCCTATGAAATAGTACTGTCATAGTTCCTACTTCATAAGAAACAGAAGCTTTGAAAGGTTGTATCATTTGCCTTACATCACATGGCCAGTAAGTGAGTATATAATTTGGGAACTGTTTCCTAAGGCTATCTTTTAAAAGCTCAATAGGTAACATATTAGTGAAAATATAATTTTGCCCTCCTTTTAGATGTATACTTTTTAGAAGTATGATTTGGGGATTGGGTGAGGATACATAAAAGAAAGAAGACCTATAGCTCTCCTTTTGATATTGCTCTCTTCCTCCTCATAATCCGTGATTCTAGTCGGCCCACTGTTCCCGTCACAACACCAGCCCATCCACAGCTCTTGCCCCTCTTTGGGTCACTCCAGCAGCCTCCAGGCTGGTCTGCCCATATTCCCTCTAGCCAGCCTGCAATCTGTTTTCTACTCTGCAGGCTAATGCAAACCCAGTATCCCAGCTGATGAGATCTTTCCAGTTGCTTCCCATTGTTCTTAGGGTGGAGCTCAGATTCCCTAGCGGGGCCTACAAGGCGTCCCCCAGGCTGGCCACCAACCTCTCCAGCCTCATTTCCTGTCACTCACCTTTTGTTCTCTCTGCTCCAGCAGCCCCCGCCCTTCCTCCTTCCCCTCTCCCACCCTGGCTTCCTACCACCTGCCTTTGCACTTGCTGTGCTCTGGCCTCACCCTTCTCCTGTCCCCTCCTCCTGGATGGGTCCCATCTCCCTCTAGGTCTCTGCTTCATTTACACTGTAAGAGAAGCCTTCCTGACCCTGCTTGCTGCTCCCAACCCCCTATTTTCTGCTTTCAAAGGCTCCTTGTCACAGCTTGTAGAATTATTTCATTAACATTTCTCTTCTCCACTGAACTGTAGACGTTCTCTCCTCTGCTCTCCCTTATCCTCAGGGCCAGCAGCCCAGCACAGGGTGTATGTGTCAGCCTGATAAGTATTACTGAATGAACGATGCTCTGAGTTAGAAAAGCATAAGGAATCGTATTTGAATTGGTTGTATTAAGTCCTCTTAGGTGTAGAGTAGGGTTTTCTATAGTTTGTTCCTTAACTTACCAATTGGGCAAGATGCTAATAAATTTTACTATAACAAGGATTTCACGGCCAAAAATTTTTTGGAAAGTCCAAGTTTGATAGATTACCAGAGGACCTTGCAAAGCCTATATAATATGCTAATGCATGTTGTGAATCTTTAACAGGAAAGAATATGCTATTCCAGTTCCTAAGTTTGACTTTGGAGACACTCAGGGGCTTACAGGTGCAGGTTCAGTGTCAGACTTCCTGGGTTAAAAGCCATGTTATCTCACTTATGAGCTCTGTGACCTCGGACAAGTTACTTAAGGCGTCTGTACTCAGTTTGTCCATTATACAGGGGGATGATGACTGATTCTGCCTGTCGTGAGGATTACGCACTTAGAATGGTGGGACGGTGTTGCTGTTCACTTTATAGCATAGGACCAGGGTCCTCAGGGACCGCCCTTTGGCAAATACTGCTGTCAGCCGAAGAGCTCTGGCCTGGAGACTGCAGTTAGCTCTGTGCCTGGGGCAAGACTCCGAAGCCTCTATTGAGCAACAGATTTTTCCACTGTGAACCCAGAGGATTGATTCTAGGTGAACTCAGTCTTTCCCAATTGAAATTTGGAAAGATTTAATTGATTCTAGGTGATCCCAGTTCAAATTTGGAAAGATTTAATTATTTTCAAGTTGCTCAAAATAACAAAATATGCAAGGCCATCTAAAACCCGTGTGTGACATCATCAAAGATGAGATCATTTTTAACAGTCCTTGTTTAGACTCATTTGTCATTTTGAGGACTGGTTGACGTCTTTCTGAGTAGGAAAGGTATACTGTTCACTTGTGCCCACGTAACTGTGCTTTGGGTATCTTAGGTCGTCTGAACGACATCTACGGAGACTACAAGTACACATACTGGGCATGCGGTATGATCCTCATCATCGCAGGCATCTACCTCTTCATTGGCATGGGCATCAATTATCGACTCGTGGCAAAAGAACAGAAAGCAGAGAAGCAGCAGAAAAAGGAAAATAAAGAGGAGGAGACCAGTGTAGATACTGCTGAGAAGCCAAAAGAATACACAGCAGAATCTGCAGAGCAGAAAGACACAGAAGAAAGTCCCAAAGAGGAGGAGAGTCCAGTCTAAACGCGTGGGGCCCAACGGTCAGTAGAGCAGCTTGTGATCCAAGATACCTGAAAATACTCTACTGGCCTGTAATCCAGCAGTGGTGCTCAATGCAAATAGTGGACATTTGTGGGGGAGATCAGACCAGGTGTTCAGTGATGGCATTTTTGTTTCACTTCTTACCGGTAGCCTGAATTAAAAATGCCATACCTTCAGGGAGGGAGTGGTTGGCAAAGAATGAGAGAAGGAAGTAGTGTGGGGTTTTTTTGTTTTTTTCTTTGATTTTTTAAATCTTAGCTTTTAACAGTGTCCAGAAGATTATAATATGTGCCTTACGTTTTAGTCTTTAGAACTCTTTAGGGAGCCTTAACTTTTTAAACCATTCTGCTGAATTCATCTATTTTAAGTATTACATTATAAGGAAAAATAACAACTAACTTGTTTGAGACCAATCTAAAATTTAAAATTAACCTTCGTTTCAGTGTTACTCGTATTATAGTGTCAGACATCATCACTGGAAGATTTATAAATAAAAATATTGTTTGAAAGTTGGGATTTTATAAAATCCTGACCAAAGTATTTTCCTGGCATCAGCAGTTGCCTGGCACTGGGCCCGCTTGCTGTATATTTAGGAAATTTAAGGCATAAACCTTTGGAACCTTCTTGGCCATTCTAAACACACTGTACTCATCAGCACCTCGCTGGAGTCTTTTCTTGGGATGCTAATATGATTAGTGTTTGAGTATTGATTTCATTCAATTACTATTTTCCCTTTTCAAAGACACATTTTGAGTAGTTATAGGCCATTGCCCCCTTTGAGATCACTTAGTATTCTTCAGTGTGAAAGTTAATTTTAAAATATGCAAAACTATGTATTTGTGCCTCAGTAAAGACCACACATCTAACGAAATGTAGACAGATCTTTCAAACAGCATCTGAATTCAGCTTCGGTTTTACCAAAACCTCAGTTAAGCTATGAGACTTCGAATCTTTTTGTTACTGATTTTCCTGGAATTCTCACCCATTGATTCATAGTGGTTCCATTTATATCTGCGTCTAGCTTAGAGCCGTGTGTGAGATAGTCAATCTTCGTATTTTTTTTTTTTTAATGTTTGTTAATTAAAGAAAGCCGGAACAATTTGGCCCCAGGGAAACCAATAAGGATAAGATTTGGAGAGAAGTTGCTCCTTTCCTTTTTCTGAGAAGGCCTGACAGAAAATTATGTTTTGCTTATAATTATTGGACACATTATTAATCTCCATGCAAACCTTAAAATATATTGTGACCCTTTTTACTTACATGAAAAGTAGAGAAATGGGTTTAATATAAGGATAGGGAGGATGGACCAGAATGAAAACTGTAAATATTTTTTAACCTAATAATCTTCTAAAATGCACAAGAAGATAATGATAGACACTCGATAAATTATATTCAGTGAATTTTAAAATATCATTGTAATTGACACAGTGAAAGTATAGGTACAAAAACTTTTGTGTAACAGACTGGCTTTTCCAAATAAACTTTTTTTTTCTTTTTTTTTAAGAAATGTTTCTCCCTCCAAATGTTTACTTTCTTGAGAAAATATTACTGTGTCTTTATTTTCATTATCAAAATCCAGTTTGGCCCTTGCTAATATTAAATCATTTAGCTTATGTGCTCTGGGAATTGTGTATATTGCTAATTTTATTTTTATTTTTCTTTCATCTTTAAAGCAAAGAAGAGGGGAATTTCAAAATCCCCTCTCTGAAAGCATCCAAAGCAGTTAGACTTCAGGGCACAATGAAAACTCCCTTTCTTTGCCTGAGCGTCATGGCAGATGGAGGAGGAATTTTAGGGGAGAGGCCTGCTGTGATTGTTGGCAGGCTTGGCTCCAGTTGGGACTCAGCTATTTTCTGTGGCCCCGAGTCCATAACCTCTATGTGCTTTTCTCCCTTCCATAAAAGTGAGGATCACTGTCCATGAGGTAATATAAGTAAAGGAAATGGGAAGGGGAGGTAGGGTGGAGGAAAAGGACAAGATTATTTTCCTCAATAGGGGAGGAAGACTTTTCCCTTTTTCCTTTCTAGGTTCTTTGGCTGGCCTAATAACTATATTGACATAAGACAGTAACAGGAGAAAAATTTAATTTCATACATACGGGAACTTCACATAGACATGGCAGCATCATAAATAATTAGGCAGCTGAGGCTTACAAGCCATCCTGAACTAAGGAGAAGGGGGCTAGGGATCTTCAGCTTCAAAAGGAATAAAAACAGTTTACAGGAAGATGGGAAGAACAAATGTTCAGTAAAACCATGCCATGTGAAGTCTTACGTTTAAAAAAGAGTTACCTTTGGTAACAGTTCTCTTCCCTGGTACAGACTCCCTGTCTAAATTATTTCAGGCAGTAACAGGGAAGGTAAAAGTTCTCCTTGAGTCTATTAGGCATTGGCTGCCTTCAGCTCAAATAATCCACATACTAACATGGCACATTTAGGGGCAGCCCTGCCCTGGACCCTGTCACCCCCATCACAGTTGTTGAGCTACATCCATACCTAAGACCCTGCTTAGTCTTTGTTCAGTAGCTGAATCTTTTTAGTGAAGTGAGGGGTTTGTGGTGCAGATTGACCACTACTCATTAGCAGCAAGGATTGAAAACTGACTCAAAGATGGAATTAACAAACCTTTTATTGCCAGTCCAACCCTGACTTTCTCCCGCTAAAGAGGGAGGATTTAAACTGTTCATTCAAGATCAACTTTGATAACAGCCAACATTAAAACCTAATAGGGGCCTCCTCTGTGCTGTGTCTTCTTGCTAACAGTCCGTGGATTTTCTCTGTGTTGTAGGTTGTGTTTGTCCTTTACTCTGTGTGAGGATTAAGTTTTATTCCAGGTTTCACTGGCTGCTTTGGGAAAATACATGTATGCACAAAGTACCTGCCTATTCTTGCTTGTTCTCTGTCCCACACTGTCTGTAAGTCACAGAGAGAACTTATCAGCTCTGAGGTAGCTGTATGTAGTGCTTGGCTCTGTTCAAGAGTCTGCTCTGTAACAGGCCCCCAAGCCAAAGCTGGGAAATTACTTAAGATGATAGGTTGGGCAATCACAGATTATCATGGTGACAAGACTGTATTCTCATGCTATACGCAAGTTTGTTGAGAATTTAAATTGTCTGAACTAGTCATAAGTGAATAATTTCTACAAAAAGTATTCGGGAAAACATGATGGTAAAACAAATTATGGAAAACTTTAGAGGTGTTTAATCCCTCGTTTAATCACACTGGTGACTAGTCCTGAATTCTTGGATTATCTGAATTTAGTTTATATGTGTACTATAGATAACTTATGTCAATATTAATCCTGTATTTAAAAATTTTTTTTGTCAAAAACCACTTAATATTTTTGTATGAGCCAATGTTTTGCTGTATTCAATTTCAGACTGATAAATCGGGTATTGGTTAGTGTGAAAAACCTAAATGTCTGGGTTTTACCTTCCATAGCGAATGGTTCACAGTATAATAAACTTAATAATCAGGTACCCGCATGCCCCTTCTACCATTTTGTTTGGAAAGATGAGGAAAGGTGAAAGCAAATTTTCACCTTTACAACATGGCTTGTTTTAATAATCAGGTCAGGCATTTGCCTGGAAGACATGAAGAAAGAGGTTAATGACATACTTGTGTCAATATGAAAATTCTTTCAGTTCTTGACAGGAAGCGACCGCCCAAGCTTGCCTGGCTTCCCAGATGTGAGCAATGAAGCCAGGTTGCTTCAGAGTTCAGAAGCATCTAAGGGGGTTTCAGGTATATCACTTCTGAAGTGTGTTCTAGCTTTAGCATTTTAGATTCGGTTTCCCCTTTTTCCCCCCTTTCCGTCTGGGCCATAGTACAAAATCTTTCAAATAAGAGTGATTGGAAAGAGTACCATGTGTATGTGTAGATTATTTTTCTCCTCAACTGAACAGCATTGATTTACTTCATTTTGGTGACCTTTACCCTGACTTGCCAAGGGGAGACTAGGATAGCTAGCAACTATTGTAGCCTGCTGGTTGCTTAACAGTATAGGCCACCTGGGTTCAAGTTGAGGCTGTGTGACCTCAAACAAATTAGCCTCAATAAGGGTCAAGTTTTTTTCTTCTGTAAGGTGTTAAGAATAATTGGTACCAACCCCACCCCCCACGCCCAGAGTTGTTGGGAAGGTTAGTTGATAGCTGACAGCTGGTGTTAAGTAGGGGCTTAATAAGCATAAATACCTGACTGTTTAAAAAAAAAAAAAAAGTCAATACTTGGGGAGAAAATTGAGCTCTTCTAATTCCCAAGATGGATCCTTACTTGGAGAGGATAGTTTGGAAGTGACTCTTAAAGATAAGAATATTAGCTAAATTATCAAATTCTCCTTTTTGATCAGATTCCTCTTTTACTCTTATAAATGTAATGGTCTTTCTTTGGTAAATGAGTGGATAAAATGAACAGTTTACAAGGTTGGTACATAAATGTCTAGCTCTGTGAGCAAAAGAGCTGTGAATCAGAGCTCTCCTGATACTCTGACAATAGACGGTTTCCAAGGGAGATGCCCAACTAGCAGCACATCAGGCTTCCCTCTTGATACTTGGGATCATTCTGAAAGAAGAAATATAACTCAACCATAATTAGTCGTGATTAAAATTGTCCCTAGCAATGTTCTTAAATGCAAATTGAAAATTTGGTGAGGTTTTAATTTTTACCTGCTATATAGATAACACAATTTAAGTTCTAAATTATCATCAGTTGCTGGCTGAATAAATTGGTGTAACGTATTGACAGGGCACATGAGGCATATTTCATGATGTGTGTCAAGGGCCATGAGTTCACAATCACATTCCAGATTTGGAGTTTATTTAAGAAAACTATGTGTGCCTTTGAAAGCGTCAGTTTCTTTGAAAAATCCTAAAGTGTATATCGGTAACTAAATGGATGGTTACTATGTCCTTGTGGTATAAATGTGGCACAACGTTAAACAAAAAAGCAGAACACAAACTACCCTTATACATGTCCGTATATACGCATGATGTCTCTACACACACATGCACACTGGGGGAAAGAACATACACAAATAGGCTAATAGTTTTGTGACCGTAATTAGAGATTACTTTTTCTATATTTTTTCCATATTCTTTTTATTTGAAAAAAATTTTTTAATGTTTTTATTTATTTCTGAGAGACAGACAGTGTGAGCAGGGGAGGGTCAGAGGGAGAGGGAGACACAGAATCTGAAACAGGCTCCAGGCTCTGAGCTAGCTGTCAGCACAGAGCCGGACACGGGGCTTGAACCCACGAACCGTGAGATCATGACCTGAGCCGAAGTCGGACGCTTAACCAACTGAGCCACCCAGGTGCCCCTGTTTTTTCCATATTCTAAGTTTTCTTGATGTGATGGTGACTTTTATACTAAAAGAAAATATTTAACATAGCAGATACTACTACTGGTTTAGAGGGAAAAAAAATAGTACAGTTGATCTAGAAGGGTTCTGACAAGCACTTGACTCCTACGAAAATGAAGCTGATGATTATTACAAGCAGGTTATTTTTTTGTTTGTTCAATAGTTACATCTGGTAATAGGGAGTTAAGACCTGGACCTCAAAAGCACAGTGGTCTGAAGTCATGATCTTGCTGGTGCTGGACCAGAGCTGTGGAGCATAGAGTCCACAGGCCACCCTGCCAGCCTCCAGTGCCGTCTTCCTGGAGCCAGTGCTCTTGGGGACAGCATTCCTGTGGTCCCCCTCTGATCATCATTTAGCTTCAAGTGAATGTTTAACTCAGAAGCCAGAGCATTCGGCACTTATCCACATCCCAGTGTTGCAGTCTTATACGTTGTCTTACCAAAATCAGCATCAAAAAAAATTTTGTGTGATGTCACACAAAAAAGGAGAATTTGCCTGTCTGCACAGCTGTTATTTATTTACCATCAGGTGTTTATTGGACTCTTCCTATGTCAGAGGCATTGTTCTAGGCTTTGAGGATCCAACCATGAACACAACACAGTAGGTCTTCCCAAGCATCTTATATTCTGGTGGCAGAAGAAGGACGGTGAACAGTAAGTTCTAAGGAAAGAAGCAGTATTGTTTTTCACCGTCTTCTGTGTGCCTATTTGCTGGATAGAGGAGATAACAACAGTGAACAAAATTTGATGCCTGGCACCCGCAGCTTCTAGTCGAGTGGGGAGTACTGTGTAGTCAGTATCGTAGGGCAGCACATGGGGAATTCTTGAACCCAACCTCAAGAGGGCCCTAATGTATATTCCTCTGCAAGTTAACTTCTCTGAACCTCTTTGGTAAAATAAACATAGTAAAACTGTGAAGATTAAGTGTGAAAGTACTCGGCATGCTGTTGGGTGCATAGTAGCATTACATCAAGCTCATAGTGTTAAAAATTAGATAGCAAGTGTCAAGTCATCAACCAGAACAAGTAATAAAGAACACCTAGTAACATTCTACAGCTCATCAGTTGTCAAAGGCCTTTCAAGTATAATCTATCATCTGAGGCACACAATCCTGGGGAGGTGGGTGTAATGGAAAATTGAGTTGGGTCTTCATCCCAGCTGGGCATCTCCCCTCCTGTCAGAAGAGTGCAAAGCACGACTGCAGACAGCTCAGTGGCTAGAGCTGAAGGTACTGATGGAAGAAGCCGAATCCTGGGCAATCTTGGAACAGTGACCAAACCAGTCACTTGGGTCTTGCACCAAAAGGAGCAAAATGGTCCTGTCCCCAGTGTATTCACAGTCTAATTCAGAACCCTTCTCCTCGGCTTTGGAATTCATAATATGATTTCTTCACTTGTGGATTTCCTTTCCTAATATGCTTTACTAATTCCAGAATTAAAAGTTTGCATTTCCTGAGCTTACCCTGGCCAGGTCCCAAGAGGAAGTGGCCAACAGCCACTAAGAAGCCAAGAGAACTGGGCTGGGATTAAAAAAATCACCTGGTGTGCTAACAATCTGCTGATCAATGATTATTAAGAGAAGGTTTCTAGTGGTTCCTGTCGTTGTGATTCATCTCTTTTTTTTCCTTCCTCATTGCTTGTTTTATCCCCTTTGAGACCCAAAAAGTAGGGCCTGGGTGCTTTTCTGTCAGGCCCTATTTATTTATATACTCTTCTCAGAAGGGGAACTTTACTTTTGATTAACAACCCTTCTGCTTTTATTTATTTATTTTTAAATGTTTCATTTATTTCTGAGAGAGAAAGAGAGAGACAGCATGAGCAGGGGAGGGTCAAAGAGAGAGGGAGACACAGAATCTGAAACAGGATCCAGGCTCTGAGCCGGCTGTCAGCACAGAGCCCGAGGCGGGGCTCAAACCCACAAACCATGAGATCATGACCTGAGGCAAAGTCGGAGGCTTAACCGACTGAGCCACCCAGGCACCCCTTAACCCTTCTGCTTTTAAATTCCGGGTGCCATCTTGTTCCTCAAATGCTGAGAATGAGCAAGATCGGGTCCGCAGTAGGGGGTCAAATGAGCTGGTCACTTGGAGAGGGTCCCTAAACTTCTGCCTGTCCTCTACTCCCTCCCCTTCCCCATTCCTCCCCCCATGTGCTTTCTCAGCTGCCTGAATGGGTAGACTGAACAGCTTCCCATTTCTCTTTCCATCCCCTCTTCTGTTTCCCCTGCCATAGGCTTGGCTTTTAACAGCCTCTCTATCTCCGTTCTCACGGAGAACAACCAATCTAACCTCAACACTGCTGCCAAAATGATTTTTTGGCAGTCTCTCAGCTGCTTTTATAACTTCACATAAAAGCAATAAAGATAAATGTCATAAAACTCATCTAATCATGTCACTCCTCTGCCTAAAATGCTGTAGTTTGAGGGTAAAGTCCAGTCTCCGTGTGACCCCCACCCAGAGCCCTTCTCAGCTATCAGCAGCTGTATACTGTTTCAGTCTTATCTACCTGCTGCCAGTCCTCGGCCGCACCCAGCTGAACTTCTTAGCACTGCTGGCCCTAGTTTCAGACTTCCCTGCCTTCCTCCACGCCGACTTGTGCTTGGAAACCCCTCCTTCCTATCTCTGCACCAACTCCTATTCATCCTTTGAAATTTGGTTCATGTCTCCTTTTAAGGAGGCCATGCTGATTCTGCAGTTTGTTTTCAATTGCTCTTAGGTCTACAGCTCAGTTAGAGTATGATTCTGTGTCGAGTTCCAGGTCTCTGGGTACAAATTCCAGGTAGGCCACTTACTCATTCTGAGTCCTTAAGCAAGTTACTTAACCTCTAGGCCACACTTTGTATATATGTACATATGTGTACTAATAGACTAAGGACTAATAGAATTTCTCTTACAGCGTTCCCGTGAGGATTAAATATAGCCATGTCTATAAGACTCTTATCATAGCACCTCACAATACTCAGTAAGAATTACTGCCACCTCTGTTCTAGATAGTTCTTCCTACTGCCAAAGAATCATTTTCAAAATGGTTAAATGGCTCTCATATAGATATAAAGTGTACATGTGTATATAACTCATTAGGGAGGGAACCAGTAAGGTTTTACAGCTGTTTCAACTGAAAATTGGGTTTACGGAGATTTATTCCCTACTGGACAAAATGCGTTTGCACTGCCATCAACCGGAAACAATTTGTATCATACACAGATGGGGAGCACCTGCCCACCGCCAGCCCTTCGCAGGCTAGCTTCCGTCTCCGCAGAGCTAAAATGTGGTCCAACAGAGGACAAGGACAGTCAGATGTGGACGTCTCGATAGACTCAGATGGCCTGGGACCCTCGACAGCTCTCAGCATTCCATCAAGAGGACACCCAGGAACCCTTTGCCCATTTGTAAAACCTTGCAATTTTTCCTAGCACAATAGTGCATTGCACTATTTTTTTTGCCTTTCTAAATCCCCAAACCCCACCAGCTATGAGCCGCTTGAGATGAGAGGGAGCAGCATGCAAACTCCTTGATCCTTTTTGATTTTAGGGGCTGGAGAAGCTTCTGCAGGATATGACATGTGAGCTGGGTAGAGAACGGGAAGGCTACATATCTCCTGGAGAAGAGCGTCCAGAGAGCCGTGTGGGGCCATGGTAGATGTGGCTGGCAAGCGGGTGTTAGTCTGTATGCCAGGCCCTGGGCTTGGCTAGGAAGGTAGGAATGTGGCCTGATCTCTGTCTTCATGAAGTGCTCCACTGCAGGCAGTAAAAGGAGATCAAGGCTTGCAACATAGTGTGAGGAGGGCCCTGAAACCCAGAAGCCAAACTTCAGAAACTCAGGTGAATCACTGGGCCCAGGTTTGATGAAGAGCTAAAGACAGGAAATCCCTGGGAGCCTCTGGGCAGCCTCGGAGAAATCAGTGAAGTAACTGTTCCATACCCTTGTCAGACCTCCTGCTCGTCTTCAGACTTGTTGCTAGACAGACAGCAGTGGAGAAGTAGTGTCTGAGTTTCCTCAGACACTGGGAATGGGGTCCTCACCACGGACAGGGGCAGCCCAGAAGCGTCCCAGAGTCTTCGGGAACTAGCACAGTTCCCCAACCATTTTGCGCAGAAAATGGTCCTCGCCAGCTGACAGGCAGTATGTTGAAACGGCGGGCTAATCAACAAGGAAACTCAGGACAATGTGTTCTTCCCTGGAATTTATGGTCTGTGAGGCAGGGAGGGTCTGGATTTGCTTTTTATCTGAGAGGATTCATTTGTTGAATATGTAAAAAGAAAGAATGAATGAATGACTGGGAACTCCAGAGAAGGATTTGTGCAGGGAAAGGAAACGGGCCAACTGACCGCCTGCACTGCCCTTAGAGGAGGTCAGCCGAAGGCTGGCAGCCGTGAAAGAGTTGCAGCACCAACCAACTCCTTTGATTTACTCTTCTCCTCACTTGGCCTCCACTGTATTTTTAGTTGCCTGACAGGAAATGATACACTCGGCATGTCAACCCCAGGATACCAAGACCAAACCACTGTAAGTTCACCAAGACAGTGCCACCACATTAGCCTCCTGACCCATGGTGACACCTCCACCAGCCGTCTGCCTCTGTTGATGTTGCACCCATCACTGAAGTGTTTCTCTGAACACTGCCCATCTGTACCCCGGCGGGGGGTTGGGGGGAGGCCTGAGTGGGGCCTGAGGAGGCAGCACGAGTGGGGCGGATTCCTGGGGACCGTCCCAGAGGCTGGGGCTGACCCAGATGGGATGTGTGGGGCAGGGAGGCTGCCAACAGAGCCAAGCTGTGTGGGCACCACGTTTGATCACGTCAGGCACCTGGCACCTCAATGCCTTTCCACTGAGGCAAGGGGGTGTGGTGGCCCCAGGCTTGGAGACACCTACCTGGCTTCAGAGCCTGGCTCTACCACTCTCTGACTGTGCAGCTCTGGGAAGATCACGTCACTCCTCTGTGCCTCAGTTCCCTCATCTGTAAAGTAAGGGTAATAATAATGGTTGTATCAGCTTGACTTCCAGGCAGGAAATTGGAACCCTCAAGTTATTTTGAGAAGAAAGTGACTAACACAGGGGGTTGGGTACTTCTCGAATGGCTGGAGTGGCTGGGTTGGGGAGGGGAGGACGGGAGGCTGAGGTCTGAAAGGATCTGCTCCCCTAGCCTGAGCAGGAAAGGCAGCTGGGTTTCTTGCCTCTGACACTCTGTGTCAGGGGACACGCCGACAGGGTCCTGATTTGGGGAGCAGGCAGGGCCTCCCTGCCAGGGTGACTGCACCCTGGACACCGGTGCAGGAAAGGATGCGTGTCTGCATGACCCTGCCTGTCAGAAGGGAGCAGCCAATGCACAGGAAAGCGGCCTGTAGCTCCCTTCCACCTTTAAGTCCCAGGTGAGGGTCTCAGCGCTGGCTCACGATAGGCACCCCCCACTCTGGAAGGGGGCAGTCTGGGAAATGGAGCTTTCTTTAGCTTTCTACCTGCAAAGGACAGGATACAGGTGGGAACAGGTCCTGGGTGCTCCTCAGCCCCCTGCGGGTCAAGCACATTTAAGCCTGGAGAGTGCCCATCACTGCAGTCACATGGCATTTGCTGTCTGGAGGTGGCTCTGGTGAGGCTTGTGGTGGTGACAGCTACGTGACTACTGGGGGGCAGCTCAGGGCTCTAGGCCCCAGGATATACCCCGCGAACAAGACAGGGCCCTACCCTGAAGATGTGATGCCCTCCAGGTGCAGCAGAGACTAGATTCATCAAGGGAAGTGGTCAGTGTAACCGTGTGTCCTAAAAGCCTGGGGTCACAGGGAAATGAGAGCACAGGGGTGCCCTTGGGCCAGTCTGGGTAGGGGGGCGCGAAATGGTAAAAGCCAGCGTTCCAGTAGTAGCAGAGTCTAATACAAAGCTTAAAGGGAAAACTACAAATTAACCAAATCCAAAGCAAGCAGGAGGGAACAAAAGGTCTGTGTGTGTGTGTGTGTGTGTGTGTGTGTGTGTGTGTGTGTGTGTGTGAGAGAGAGAGAGAGAGAGAGAGAGAGAGAGAGAGAGAGACAACGCTAATTTCCACCTTAAGGGAGCCTAGACATATCTACAAACCCCTGGAAGATGGAGGGTACTCGGCGTTTTCCACGAGTGGACAGTTCAGTCTGACCAGTACACAGAGTGATGAGTGAGGGAAGTGAGTAAGAAACCAAACTGGAAAGGAAAGCTGGGGACTGGAGATCTCAAGGGCCTTCCACATCATTTTGAAGAATTTGAGCTTTATCCTGTGGGCAATGGGGAGCCGCAGCAGGCATTTAAGCAGGGAGAAGAATCACCATTCTGGTTTCCAAAATATCACTACGTGCAGTTTGTGCTGCAGGCTGGAGAGGGCAGGACTGTGGGCAAAGATTTCAATGACGATACTGCAGCCGTCTGGGCTGGAGATGATCGCTGCTGAGAGGACGACTAGGGAAGACAGGGCAGGCTGCTGGGAGTTTAGGGAGGCACAGCGACCAGGAGGGGGTGGGAGGGCAAGCAGAGAGAAACCAGGGCTGGCTGCCAGGTTTCAACACCCAGTATACCGGGAAGGGTGGGCCCCCACCAACTCCTGGCACTTGATCTTGGGGTAGTGCCCACCTACAGGTTCCCTGCCTCTGAAATGAGTTCACAAAAAGTCTCTTCCCTCCCATGAACCTTATGGCCTGCATGCAATTCAATGCCACCAACATTTATTAAGCAGCTATTATGTGCCAGGAAGCAGGGAGGCTTCTCCCTGTCTCCTAAGGGGGTTTAACCTGCGAGACTCCGGAGCAGGAATGGAATTAAATGTAGGCAGGGAGAAGCTGTGGACACAGAGCCCACATTCAGGCCTTCCCTCCTCCCCTTGTGTAGGAGGGGTCTTGACCCATGACCTGTGCTCACCCTCAAGGTAGAAGAGTACAAGGGGCATGAGCAGAGCCTTTGACAAAGGCCCTGGGCCCCAATCTCTCCTGGAACAGGCAGCCACCCCTGGTCTCTTTCTGCTCGGAGGGTTCTGCGTTCGATCTACCATGAGTCCCAGATGAAAAGAAAGGAGAGGTCCACCTGCATGGTCACCCAGAGGACTTGCTGTCTGCCATTCACTGGATTCGCTCCTTGGAACCAAGGCGTTTTCCCAGAGGCTGTTAACAGGAAGATATTAGCCCATTATTGTCTGGGTAATATATTAACTTCTTGCCAACGCACTAGTGCAGGCAAGTTATAGAATTGCTTTTGTCTGAGCCTAGAATGGAGGCCTGCTTTTTAGAACGGTAAGTGGCCTGGAGTCACCCTCTGAGGGTCCGGGCACTGTAAAACAATGACGGTAACAACATTTACTATTGATGGAGCGAACGAACACACTACGTTTCTAATTTCTACATCTCCATAATTCTATAAGGTGATTATTGTTCCCATTTTGCAGACGGGAAACTAAGGTTCATTTAGGTTCTGAAATTTGCTCAGTTAGGGTCACATGGCTACTAGGGTGGCTGAACTAGAATTTTAACCAACCCAGACCTGATACCAATGCCTTTTTCTAAATGACTACACAGTAACTAAGCCTTGCTCCTGGGACCCTCTGTGGGTAGCTGCTACTCCCTAGAGTAGTCACATCCCAGGAGGAGGTTCTTCTCTGATGTCTTTCTCATGGCTGTTTGGCTTGGCCGGGGAACCCAAGCTCCTTGAAAAGAGGAAGTGTACAGAACCAAGGCCAGTCTTCAGAGGGTAAGGTCTGAAGCCTGAACCAGGACAGCAGCGATTGACAGATGGGAGCCCCAGGAGGCTCTGTCCTTATTCACCCCTCCCCCGCAGGGGGTCTCCTGGGCCCTGCAAAGGCCTGCTTTTATCCCCAACCTGCTTCAGGACACTAGGAACAGTCCTCCTACTTTGGCTCTGAGAAGTTCAGGACTTCCTCATCCTGCTCTGGGACACTGTCCAGGGCCTCAGCCTACTAGCCTGGGGCTCCCACCCTGGGGTTAATTTCCAGCAACCCTAATGCTCTCCAATCCCCGGCTGAGACGCCAGGCCAGGGTACAGAACGCAAGGCTTATTCACGTGTGATAGCTGCCCAGTGACCGTGGGGGAGGGGGCGGGGAAGCCTCTAGGCCCCTGGTAGCTGTCTTCCACGCAGGGGAGGAAAAATCACTTTTCCTCTACGCTTCTGAGTTCGTGACCGAGAGCTCTGTAATAAAAGGCAGTTTAACAAGAAAAAAACACAAGTTTATTCACGTGTATACCTCATGTATATATTTGAGATAAGAGAAAAATAGGTTAACCACCCCAGGTGGCCTAAACCAGCAGCTTAATTAAATACCATCTTCAGCCAAAGACAAAAGAACAAAAAGGTGAGAGGGGGGAGGTCTGTATGGGAGATTAGAGGGGAAAGCAGGGTAAACAAGGATAAAGCTTGTTAGGCAGATTTAAATACTGCTCCCTCCATTGGTTAAGCTTCTCTGGAGACTTAAGAGTCATTATGAGTTGTCTTCTCTTCCCAGTGAGGAGAGGGAGACACACTCAGAGATTTCCTTTACGAATGTAAATTTCCTGTTCCAAAGAGTAAGTTCCACGGCTTTCGGAGTCTCTCCGGTGTCTGTTCTTCGTCACAACAATCAGCTCAAAATAATCCTTATGACAAGAGACATATTTTGGGGTGGCATATTCTGCTACCCTTCACATCTCCCCCACCCCCACCCCCGCCGCCCGCCCTTTCCAAACCCGGGCTCCCTGCCATGGCCCCAGGCAGCTTTCGGAAGAAAAAAAGGTTCTGTTCAGAGTGAGACCTGTGGTGTTTCTTAGGTCACAAGACCTCTGCTGGACTGTGCCCCTGGACACGTCTTGGTCACACCAGGTCCCGGAGCAGCACAGCTGGGTGGGCTTCGGCGCCTGGCAGCGGTGGGACAGCCCAGCCTTTGATGGGTGACTGGAAGGCTTGGGTAGTTGCAAGCCCACGGAGAAGCTCTCAAGACACCCTGCTGGGCCGGGCTGAGAGAGGCGCCCTCCACCTCCAACCCGCCTGGTGTGGAAAGCACGAGCTGATCTCTCCCGCTCAGTCCCGGGACTCCGGCGGGGAGGGAGCACCGGGTCCACCACTTGGGTTAGTTCTTGCTTCAGGTTCCCGTCCTTGTTACAGCCCTCGGCAGCCAGGAACTGCTCCTCCCCACGCCCCCTCCCACTCGCCACTACATCCCCGGGGAAACCTCCACACCCACACCCCTACTTACGGCACACACCCCAATAAACAAACATTCCCCTCCCCCACTAGGCAGCCACGACACATGCGCACGAACCCCTCAGGCCTGAAGGCAGGCTGTGCGTCCAGTTGACAGGGGGACCTCACACTGACCTTCCTCGAGGGTGACCACACGAAGAACCCGGAGAGGGGGCCGGTCGCGGAGCAAACAGGACCTCCACTCCCTACTCATACCCTACCCCCACTTCCTGAAGGCTCCCTCCCCGGCTTCCCTCCGGTCCTGAACCCTAGGCTGGATGTGGCAGCGCGGGGCGCCCTCGTGTGGGAAGGTGCGGCGCTGCACTCCTCCTGGGCCTGCTGCTCTCGCCGCTCTAGGCCGAGCCCTGCGCCCCTGGGGCCATGCTCACTGCCCCCACGGGCCTGGGCCCAGACCACCATCTGTCCTCTTACCGCTGGAAATTTGCTCCCTCTATTTTCTAATTCAATATGCATGCATACGAAACAAAATGTTAGTTTTAAAACATAATATAGTTAATATCCGTGAGCCTCCACCTGACAAGAGAGCTGAATAATCACTTTGTAAGTTACATTTCCTTTGTGTTCCTCTTCACCTTCCCTAATTTCATGTTTTCTCTTGCTTTTTGTTTCAGTTATGTTCATTGTGGTAAAGTACATATAAACTAAAATGTACAGTTGTGTAGTATTAAATACATTCAGAATGCTGTGCAACCACCAGCACCATCCATCTCCATAACCCTTTTCATCTTGTCAAACTGAAACTCTACCCATTAAATAATAACTCCCCATTCTCTGCCTCCTAGCCTGGCAACCACCATTCTATTTTCTGTCTCTGAGTTTCACTAATCTACATATCTTATATAGATGGAAGCATGCAGGTTTTGTCTTTGCGACCGTCATATATCACTTAGCATAATGTGCTTAAAATTCATCCATGTTGGGATGCCTGGGTGGCTCAGTCGGTTAAGTGTCCGACTTTGGCTCAGGTCATGATCTCACTGTCCATGGGTTAGAGCCCCTTGTTGGGCTCTGTGCTCAGAGCCTGGAGCCTGCTTCAGATTCTGTGTCTCCCTTTCTCTCTGCTCTCCCCTCCCACTCATGCTCTGTCTCTCTCCTTCAAAAATAAACATTTAAAGGGGCGCCTGGGTGGCTTAGTCGGTTAAGCGTCCGACTTTCGCTTAGGTCATGATCTCGCGGTTCGTGGGTTCGAGCCCCGCGTCGGGCTCTGTGCTGACTACCAGCTCAGAGCCTGGAGCCTATTTCAGAGTCTGTATCTCCCTCTCTCTCTGACCCTCCCCTGCTCATGCTGTCTCTCTCTCTCCTAGAAATAAATAAAAATATTTAAAAAAAAATAAAAAAAATAAACATTTAAAAAAATTGTTTAAGTGTATTCTTTAATTTTCATAATTCTGTCAATTTTCCAGTTTTCCTTCTGTTATTGATTTCTAACTTCATCCCACTGTGGTTGGAGAAGATCATTTCATAGATCTATCTTTTAAAATCTATGGAGACTATGTAGTCTAACATATGGTCTGTTCTAGAAAATGTCCAATGTCCACGAGAAGGATGTGTGTCTTGTTGTTTGATAGAGTGTTCTCTACACCTCTGTTAGTCCTAGTCGTTCTGTTATGTTGTTCAAGCCCTCTGTTTCCTTATCTTCTCTTTGGGTACTGTATCCGTAATTGAAAGTGAGGTATCGAAGTCTCCGACTATTATTGCAGAACCTTCTAGTTCTCTTTTCAATCCCATCTGTTTTTGTTTCATATATTTTCCTGGTCTGTTATTAATTATGTGAAGGTTTATAATTGTTATATCTTCTTGCCATATTGAAACTTTTAGAAATATATAATGACATTCTTTGTCTCTTATGAACTCTTTTAAAGTCTATTTTCTATGATATTCCATGGCTACTCCAGATCTCTTTGGTTACTATTTTCATGGATTATCTTTCTTCATTCTTTCAATATGTTTGTGTCTTTGGCTCTAAGGTTACTCTCTTGGTAGGTAGCATATAGACAGGTGTTTTTCTCCATTCTGCCAATCTAGGTCTTTGGAGAATTTAATCTATTTACATTTAAAGTAATTACTGATAAGGAAAAACTTCTGTCATTGTGCTATTTGTTTTCCATATGCTTTATATCTTTTTTTGTCCCTCATTTCCTGCATTACTGTCTTCTTTTGTATTTAATTGACTTTTTTTCCTAGTGAATGTTTAAATTTCTTTCTCATATCATTTTGTGTATATTCTATAGTTATTTTCTTTGTGGTTTTGAATCTAATTTGAATTATTACCAGCTTAACTTCAGTAACCTAAAACTCTGCTGCTTTTTTTTTTTAAGTTTATTTATTTTGAGAGAGAGTGGGTGTGTGTGCACGCAGGGTAGGGGCAGAGAGAGAATCCCAAGCAGACTCCTCACTGTCAGTGCAGAGTCTGATGTGGGGCTCAAACCCATAAATCGTGAGATCATGACCTGAGCCGAAATTAAGAATTGGATGCTTAACCGACTGAGCCACCTGTGCACCCCTCTGCTTCTTTATAATAGCTACATTTCTACTCCTTTTAGTTGTTGATGTCCCAAAATTACATCTTTGTACATTGTGTGCCCCAAAACCTAAGCTAATACTTTTCATTGCATTAGTCTGTTAGATTATGTAGAAAACAATATTTGGAGTTACAAACCAGTTACAACAATACCAACTTTTACACTAATAATTACTTGTTTTCTTTATATAGTCTCTTAAATCATATAGAAACAAAAAGTGCAGTCATAAACTATTGTTACAATAAAACTTATTTTTGTAATTGCCCGTATATCTACCTTTATTGAAATCTTTACTTCTCCTCGTGGCTTCACGTTACTGCCTAGTATCCTTTCGTTTTACCTTACAGCATTTCTCAAGCATTTCTTGAAGGGCAAGTTTAGTGGTAATGAACTTCTTCAGCTTTAGTTTAGGGAGTGTCTTAATTTCTCCCTCACTTTTGAAGGACAGTTTGGCCAGATATAGGATTCCTGGTTGACAAGGTTTTGTTGTTTTTTTGTTGTTTGTTTTTTTTTTTACTTTTAACTCTTTTTATATTTTAGCCCACTGCCTCTGACCCCCAAAGTTTCTGATTAGAAATCTGCTTTATTAAGGAAAACTTGTATGTGCTAATATGCTTCTCTCTTGCTGCTTTCAAGATTCCTTGTCTTTGTCTTTGAAATTTTGATTACAATATGTCTCAGTGTGGGTCTCTGAGTTCATCTTGCTTGGAGTTCACTGAACCTCTCGGATGTATTCATGTTCTTTATTAAATTTGGGAAGTCTTCTGCCATTATTTCTTCAAATAGTCCCTCAGCCATTTTCTGTTCTCCTTCTGGAACTCCCACCATGTGTATGTGGATCCACTTGATGTTCTCCACAGGTATCTTAAGTTCTTCACTTTTCTTCAATATTTTTTCTTTCTGTTCCTCAGACTCCATAATTTCCATGATCCTGTCTTCAAGTTAATAATTCTTTCTTCTTCCTGCTAAAATCTGTCTTTGAACCTCTCTAGTGAATTTTTCATTTCAGTTATACTGTTTTTTTTTTTTTTTAAGATTTTATTTTTAAGTAATCTCCATACCCAACGTAGGGCTCAAACTCACGACTCTCAGATTGAGAGTTGCACGCTCCACTGACTGAGCCTATCAGGCACCCCATTCTTGTACTTGTACTCAGTTGTACTTTTAAGCTCCAGAGATTCTTTTTGCTTTCTTTTTAGGGCCTCTAACTCTTTATTGATATTTCCATTTTGCTAAGACACTACTGTCTTGACTTTCTTCACATCTTTATTGAGTTCTTTGAGACAGTTGTTTTAAAGTCATTGTCTAGCATATCTACCATCAGGTCTTTTTCAGGGACAGTTACTGTCATTTTGTTTTCCTTTGAGTGGGTCATACTTCCTTGTTTCTTTGTATGCCTTGTGATGTTTTGTAGAAAAATGGACATTTTAATTTAATAATGTAGTAACTCTGGAAATCAGATTCTTCCTTTTCCTCAGGTTTGTTACTTATTACTAGTAGTATTCATATTTGGACTTTTTAAATTTTTATTTGTATTGAGAGAGAGAATGAGCAGGGGAGGGACAGAGAGAGAGGGAAAGAGGGATCTCCAGCAGGTTCAATTGTGGGGCTCAAATTCACTAACTGTGAGGTCATGACCTAAGCTAAAATCAAAAGTCAGATGCTTAACTGACTGAGCCACCCATATGCCCCAGTATTTGGACTGTTGTAGGCTGTCTTGTGCCAAGGATTAACTTGAGGTGTAAATTTAAGGCCTTCTTAGAGGTCTTTTCTGGACCCACACAGTCACTTTCTAATTTTCCCCTATATTTATTTCCCCCATGCTATTGCTTCTGAATGTCCTAGTCTTTAATGTCTGGCTCCCAAAAAGGGGAAAAGAGAAAAATTAAAGAGAAAAAGAGTTCTTGCATTTTAATTCCCCTGGAAGTTACTTTAGCCAGAGAGGTAGGGGCTTGCAACATGGGGTGGGAGCTAGAACAACGAGTGCCCATCTCTGTCTGCACCTCTGTGATCAGAAGTAGTAATCAGCAAACAGAGCACAGACCCCAGACACTTGGAGGACAGGGTTGTTATTGTCCACCCTGGCTCCATAATTTGTATGCACGCTATTCCAGAAACACATGCACAGCTGCCTGCCACGTGGCTGAGGGTGGGGAGATGGGTAGCCGTTACTGTGCTAACAGCTGAAGTTGACCAAAATGGACCACAACTTATAGCAAGCCTTCAAAGTTAAGCAAAGTTAACGTTAGATGGAGTCTACCAATGTAATTGCAGTCTGAATGAGATTCCCAGTGCTTCCTACTCACCTTCTTCCTAGAATCCTATCTTCCCTTGTTTTCTTTATAAAATTATTGCTTTCATCAAATAACTAAATATGCCTAAATTATATATTTATATAGATTTGGTTATTTTTGAGCTTTTAGAAATATGTTTGATACAGTCTTCTGGTTTGTTCAGAAATATTTACATTTGTCCTGTTTCAGACCTAACAAGATATTTGAAAGGATTTAATAACTCTGTGTTCAGAAATTTGGCCATATTCAGAGCCTAATAGGAATTTTTTTTAGATCTCCTCCCCTAAGCTAAATGTATCCAGAGGGAAAAGCTCTTGTAAAAGGATTTATGGGTAGATCAAACTATGATGTCACTTAAATTACAACCCAATTCCTTAAGAAATTGAAAACAATTGTCCTTATAGGAAGCCAATCTAGCCTCTT